AGAAAGGAGAAAAGATGCAGCTTGAAGCAATTAGAAGAGAAACAAAATTCTGGAGGCATGGCTGTTTGCTTACATTGTTAAAATGTTCCTTTCTCAAGATGGCTCAGTGGTTAAGAGCACTGGCTGCTGGTGCTAGAGGACCTGGGTTCAGTTCTCAGCACCCACATGGCAGTTAACAACCACCATCCATAATGCCAGTTGCATAGGATCCAATGCCCTCTTTTGACCTCCATAGGCATTGCATGACACAGGTGCACTTACATGCATGCAGGCAATACATTAATAAAATAAAAAGATTAAATAAAATATTTTTTTAATGCTTTCTCTTAAGTAAATTATTCCACAATCCAATTTGGGGTAAGTGAACTTGTTCAAATTGATTTCTTTTCTTAAGAATAGATTACTTATTTCTGTCTTATCATGATCCACATGAGGTAGAGTTACGATGATCAACTAGGATGGCTATGAAAGATTTGTGTCATAAACATCTACATTTTTAATATTTCTGCTATGACAACTGCTCAGCTTTTTTGATCATTTATCTTCCATTTCTAAGGTGACATTGCTACTGTTGCCGACTGTGCTTTATGTAGATCAATGTTCCTGATGTACCTGGGGGAGTGCTGGCACCACTGCAGGTCTTGAGTGCTGCATTTGTACAAGATAGAAAATATGGAAAAGATGATCTATGGAAAACAGATTTGTCCCACCCACCATGCCACCCAAGCAAAGCAAGCAAAACTTTTCTGATTGCTATATTTGGAAGTAATTGAATATTAATATATGAGTTCATAAAGTCAACAATGGGAGAGAGGTCTTCCATAGAAATGGGGTTGTATTAGAAAGTGGGTCTTTATTGAATTTTATTTATGCTAGCTGTATAGTGGTGGGATCATATTATATAACAACATATTTGCTTTTAGACTCAGCTACAACATGGTTTTCTTCTTTTCCAGAAGAAAGTATTGTAGAGCCTACATATTTAGAAAATGACATATTTTAGAAAATAACTTGTCCTGTAGTGCCTTTCATTTTTAAAATTCTTGTTTATAAAGTCAACTTGCTAAAACATTTTTGACAGACACACAAGAAAGATCTCACAGCACAAACTTAGAATTTAAAAAAGAAAGAAAACAAGAAAAACATGGATAATGGTGACTTATTCCTGTAACAAGCACTTGGAAGGTAAAAGTGATAGGATTAGGACTTCAAGGCCAGCCTCAGCTACGTATCGAATTCAAGGCCAACCTGGGCTACATGTGAGTCTTTTTTAAAAGAAAAGAGAAACCCCTTATATATGCTACTGCTACAGGTTTTCAGGTAAACCAATACTACCATTTCCACAGATTATAAAAGCCTCCGCTATGCTCTCACATAGCCCAGGGAACAGATTTCTCATTCAGCTGCAGACTTCCACAAATCAGGCATCATTCTCACTTTCTGCCCACCTCAGTTTCACTCTCTGAATCTCTGGACCCTGAGAGGTAATCCTCACTCCATATCGTTGGTAGTTATTCCTATACTTAGGTTCACGGTGGTATCACACTAGTGTGTTTTACTGAACAATATATTTTTTAGTATTGCTTGTTGCTTTGTGAAAGGTTCTACATATTTATTTTACCCCCTTTTTTCCACTTTTCATTCAGAATTAACCTTATAAAATGCATCCATTGTGGTATATGCAGCTATGATTCTGTGTGAGTTTAGTTTTTATTTTCATCCAGCATTCTTAGACCCCCAGTTCTCATTCTGGTCACTTGGGACTAAGTTTTCTTTTTCTACTGTTGAGGCTATTGTGACTGTCTTCATTCAGTAGTAACCATGGAAACAGTATATAATTTGTTTTAGGGTTAGAGAGGTCAAGTTAATGAACTTAAACAAATATGATCAGGCTATTTACCACTTAAATCTCTTTACTAAGGCTGAAAAACCACTATCATCACTTCAAATGCTTAGAGGTCATAACACTTGGTTTTATAATGGTAGTTACATTGGCATCTAAAGCAGAGATACTTCCTTCTCCATAAACATCTGCTTTAAATTTTTCAGCATTGTTAATACACTGGCAGATCAGGGCCATGACAATTTGTTATAGAGAATGAACTCTTACCTAGTCCAACTGTTTCTAACCATGTTAATTTTGTTATATTAACTCCTCTAAGCAATACTAATATGACTTAGCTATTAAATATTAAAGCAAAATATTCTCTTATGAAATCATACTCAAATTCTAGTATTCCCAGGTCAAAAACTTTAGTATGTGATTGCCCAGTTATTGAAACTCTGATCATATGCCCATGGATAATTGGTTGAATCCCCATTTTCATTTATCTTTCACTTAATTAAAAAATTCTAAAGAGTCTGGTCAGTAGAAGAAGTTTTTGGTAAAGAACTAGCAAAAATAATTTTTAAAAAGCAACTTAAAATTTCAATTACTGATCTACTACGGGTGATCATTAGCATTTTGACACTTTGGTTGAACTTTGAAAATACAGACTTTTTAAAATTTCTGTGATGTTACTGACTTGCTGATAGTTAACAAATTCTACAGAATAACTGTAATATCATGTATTAAGGAATTTTTTGAATACTAAAGGAAATTAAGACCCAGACTGTTTAAAGAAATATTCTCAAGAAGCTCCATTTTAAATATCTTCCCAGCAGCCGTATATACAGTTTTGGAGGCTTCTGAAGTCATATCTCAAAGGTTGCAAAGGAACTTTTTCCAGTAAGTGAAACTTGAGCCTAGCATATGTGGTTCCCCAGGTTCACTAGATAGGATAACAACTGGAGAGAAGATAAACTTAGATCAAGAAGGTTGCTCAAGGGAGGTAAGGCATGTTTTTACAGCCAGTTGTGTGGGTGCACCTGTTTTGTCCTAGTAATCAGGAGGCTAGGCTGGGGAATCGCTGTGAGTTTGAGGCCAGCCTGGTCTACATAGTGTGTTCCAGGCCAGCTGGGGCTGCAGGGAGACCTTGTCTCAAAAACAAAAACAAAAACAAAAAACAAAAGAGAGAGAAAAAAATCCATACTTGAAGATCATGTATGTTAGGTCGTAAGCATGGTTTATGGCTATTTTAATATTCTTATTTGTAATATTTCTCTAAATGTTATGCCTATGTAAGCAATCTTCAGTGTGTTTGTGTGTTTGTTTGTTTTCTATTATTCAGGAATTTACTATCTCAGACTCTCAGAGGGTGAGAGACTTTAACCTCTCTAGAGTGAAGGACTCTTTCCCATCTTTTACTCTGCTTCATCTAGATGAACAGGGTCTTGATTCACCTTGGCCCCACCCTTCTAACGGGCTGTTACCTAGGCTGGATTTTTCTAGAAGAGTAGGTAGGATAAAGGAAAGAAGAATCTGAAGGCTGAAAGGGTGTGAACTCTGAAAATTGGAATAGAGAAGAAAAGCAGCCTCATTCAAAGGAAACATTCCAGAGCTGTCTTTTCAGACCCTGGAAGTACAAGTATTCCTATCCAAAGAGTTCCCCAGGGCCACCTGCAGGGACACAGCATACACATTTAAGTGTTTGCCAGGATGGAAATTTGACCCAGTAGGCTTGAGCTTCCTGGAGTGATTCTATTTGTCATTTTAGCGTTTATGATTGTGTAATAGAGTTTTTCAACAGCAAATCAAAGCAAGGCTGGTGATATTGCACACAAACACAATAGAAATGGGATGGCTTAATTAGTAAAGAATGAACTGACATGATTCCTATAAGTTAAAATGTACATATTTAAGGAGGCTTTTTGTAACATTTATACCATTTATTTTATAATATACTAATTCGAATGTAAAAGTGAATGTAAATTAACAGAAATTAACATGCAATGTGAAGAAAAGTCCTTTTATCCTCTGCAACTGTAGCATTTGGCACATTCAGGAATAAATAATCTTTTGTGGCAAGGGTATGCCTTATCAAACATATGCAGATCAGCACTAATTAATGCTAATTAAGGTTTCCTGTCTATCTAGTTGGAAAAACGTCCAAATGTTATGAAATCCAGTTAGTATGCCTATTACACTAATTGTTTTATATGGGGTGGTTCTTAATTAAAATATGTAAATTGACCTTAATTGCTATATACTAATGGGGGTTCATGTTATCTCACTAAAAGTGACAAGATGGTGAGGAGGGGTACTTAAAAGACTAATTCTGATAAATCCTTAACTAAATGACCTTTATTCAAAATTAATTTTAATTGGAAGTTGGCAAAAGAAACATTTTTCCTTCTTTGTTTCTTTCTAGTTTTAAGTAATGGAACAATGTTATTCTTCCTTGTTAGTACAGCTTTAGAAGCAATGGTGGGTTGTTAATTACACTTAACAAGCAAGTTAATTTTAGTGTTTATGTTTATTAGGAAGTTATTGATAACCTCATTTCCATTTTGGAAAAAGTGACTTCTGATTGAGTATATCTATATCTATATCTATATCTTTATAAACATATGAATGTGAATATATATGTATATATTAAAATATATATACAGGTAATTTGACACAGTTAACTTTTTAGAATATGTGTTAAAGTTTAATGAGCTAGTAATAATATGTTTTTCTTAGTTGATTTGCATTTAAATAACATTTCAAGGAAATTTTTTTCCATAATAAACATGAACTCTTACTGGAATTAAGCTTTGACTGGACATACTTAGATACATAGATTGACATGGAATTTTAATATTTTCCATTTATTTGTTAAATTGAAAACAAGCTAAAATATGTATGCCCCAAACCAGCATAAAACAATTTAAATATATATTTATTCTTTCACTATGTCCAATCTAGAATTGCATGGAGTACTTTACCAGAAATATTTTATTCTACTATTTCATTTGGAAGTGGCATTTACTCAACTGTAATTTAAAGTATGTTAAAACGTCATCTGGAAAGTTGAGAAGAGACTTGGCAATTTTTTTTCACATGGAAATGAGTTTATAATAAAGATCACAAATTTTCTTTGTGGAAAAGAGACTCGATATCTTTGCTTTTTCATCAGGACATCGTGACAAATGTCTCTCCAAGAATCATCCGGGGGACCACCTCTGGCCCCATGTATGGCCCTGGACAAAGCTCCTTCCTGAACATCGAACTCATTAGTGAGAAAACAGCTGCATATTGGTGTCGCAGTGTCACAGAACTAAAGGCTGACTTTCCGGACAATGTAAGTGTGATTTAACATCGAAAACAAGAGACTGGCATGAGTTGGTGAATGTTTATTTAAACATCCCATTCATAGGCTTATAAATATTAATGCGTATAATATATTTTATTAAAGAATCTGCCAGTTGCTTGACTGATGCAGAGAAAGATAAAAAAGAAAGAAAGCTGGAGAACTCATAAAACTCCCCCAAATGTGAGGCTTTCTTATAAATGGGCACTCTGTGCGCGGAAGAAGTCTCTACATAAGCAGAAGGAAGGGAAATGAAATACTCATTTTATTGAGTTGATTTTCACTGTATGTGGTTGGTATTTATGAAGGTGATGACCTTAGGGAGAAATTGCAGGCTATAAATCATTTTAAATATAAACCTAAGGCTGAAGCAGAATATTTTATGTAGGTTATTTATATTTTTTCAGTGGGAGATAATTTACCAAATAATTTTAATGCCCTTATACTAAATAAGTCCACTGTGTTTGTAAAAAAAAAAAAAAAAAAAACCAACAACAAAAAAAAAACTTTCACTTTTAAGGAGCTATGCAAAATATTGCGATGAAGTCTCACTTAAAGGCATTACATAAGTGTTGTCTGTTCAGTAGCCTGGTTGAGGTTATTCTTAATGTCATTCATTCTTCTCCTGATCTCTGTCCCTCCACTTCCCCGCCTGTCTCTCTATTATTCTTTCTTTCAATGAGCTGTACTGAATGAAGCTGGACGTTGCCAGAAGTGTGTGTGTTTATGTTATGGAAAAGATTTTTCTACAAAGACAAAAGAGCACACGTCACATAGACCTACGATAACTATTTTTAAATATTTAAATACTTTGAAATGTAGTGAAATTCAGGAATGGTTGCTTATAACCTGATAAATCACACCCTTAAAAACGAATGTAGACAGAGCCCACTGTTGCCTCGCTGATCAAGATGTTTTCTTCTAGGTAGCTTTGACGCTGCATCCTTGTTCCCTCATACCTTGAAACAAAATATAGTGACATAAGAACAGGAATCATTTATCTTCCTCAAGACAATCCTTCATATGTGAAGGGAACTACCAAGACACATTAGAAATCTTTAGCATCTGCTTATTAGGATCTTGATGTGGGCAATTATCTCTCCTGTGATAGAATTAACTCTCTGGAACAGTGATGTCAAGTGTTTTTTTCCTAAAGGACCCGCATCTTTTAGGCAGATTTCTTAGACTGACAGGGATGAGAAAGGCCCAACTATAAAAGAAATACTAATATGTATGCAATAACTGCTTGACAATGTCAAGTGCTTTGCTAGGTGCTGAGCGTACAGTATGGTTTAATAATACCTAAGTACTTACAAAACACTCATTTCACTGCAGACACAGTTATAAAAGCTTTGTGTATTTTAAACTCACTGGATCTTTCAATAACTTCATAAGACAGATATTGTCATGTAGTCATATCTACAATTGAAGAAACTGAGGCACACAGAGGTAAGGGATCTTGACCAAGGCTATACATGTAACACATAGTGAAGTTGAAATTTGAACCTGAATTTTGCTTCTGTCATCTGTGCTTCTGTCTAATAGTGCCTTCCAGTGCCCCTGCCTATGCTGCTCTTAAAAATTCAGGATTTAGCCAGGAGTAGTGGCACATGCCTTTAATCCCAGCACTTAGAGGTAGAGGCAGGAGGATCTCTGTGAGTTCAAGGCCAGCATGGTCTACATAGCAAGCTCCAGGACAGCTGGGGCTACAGGGAGACCCTGTCTCAAAAAGACAAAAAAAAAAAAAAAAAAAAAAAAAAAAAAAAAATCAGGATTTGTTTTTAATGTAACATAAAACAATATGAAATATGAAATATGATTTTCCCAAACTTTCAGTATTGAGTGAAACCAATGTGCCCAGAAAAAAAATTTTTTTTCAATGAAAATAACTCCCATCAGAAGGAGTGGGTGTGGATATGATCAAAACACCTTATACGAATGTATGAAATTTTCAATAAAGTTTTTTTTTTAAAAAAAGAAAAAGAAAATAACTCCCATCAATGACTGTCTTAAACTCACATATTTGTCATTTGTTGAGAGAAGAGTAAGGTATTAAAATAACGGCTACTATAAAATATTTAAAAATAAAAAGAATGGGCTGGAGAGATGGCTCAGCAATTAAGAACACTGGCTGTTCGTGCAGAAGACCCGGGTTTGAATCCCAGCACCCACACGGCAGCTAAGAACTGTCCGTGACTCCGTTTCCAGGGGGTCCAACAACCTCTTCTGTCTTCCATGGGCATTGCACGACACGGGTGCACTTACCTACATGCAGGCAGTACACGCATACACATAAAAATAATAAATAAAATATAAAAAAAAAAAAATAACGGCCACCAAGAAATGACAGCAGAAGGGCAGGAGAGCTGGGTGAGGCCCTTGTTTCCCAATTTCCACAGCTGAGCCGAAAGAGGAAGAGACATGTTTAAATGTTTAATTTCCCTGACAACAACTTTCTTCTATAATGTAATGTGTGTGTGTGTGTGTGTGTGTGTATGAAAAAATAAAATATGCTTTTCTTGTTTCTAATTTTTCCCATATAAATTATGCTTATTAGCCTTTTCTCTGTATTCCTAAACGCATTTCTAACTTTTTATTTCCCATACCAAAGATAACATTTTAAATACAATTAAAGTGGCATTCTCATTTGAACCCACAGAAAGAGCGCCTGCACCTAGGTATTGCATGCTGAGAAGAGCAGATCCCCCACTGTTTTGGAATTATTCTTTTGCCAGACCCAATGAGCTGAATGAAAGGAGGTGACCCTTCATTTTCCAACTTTAATTATCACTCTCACTGGAGTTTTCCCACATCATTCTCGAGTGTGTGGCTGCCACCTTTAATGACAGGGATTGGATAATTCAACCCACCCTGGCAGCTTCTAAGCAAGGGCTAAGTTTTCTAAGAAAGAAATTGTGCCAGGGGTACACAGGCCAGCTAATATCTGCAGCGAGCGTTTGTCTTCAGATCGGGGGGGAGACCACAGTTGACCTTGAACCAGGAGAGACAGATAAAGAACATCTTGGACACAAAGGTAACAAGACGCTCTGACAGACAATGTGAGGGCTTGTTTTATAATTCACAGTTGTAATAGTGCCCACTTTCACACTCGACTTCTGTTCTGCTTTCAGAGTCCCCTTTTATTTATCTTTGACTTATATTTGGCACACCAATCATTGTAGTGACAACTGATTTCTGAGTTTTTGCTCCTATGCTGAAATTTTTGCAAAGCTTATTATGATGCATACTGTACAATTTGGGCTTACAGAAATCAATTTTAAATGAATCCTTTTACTAGTATAGCAAAGGCCTTAGAACTAACATAGTTTAGGTTTAAGAAATTAACATATTTTAGGCTTAAAAAACTTTTGACCAAAAAAATATATGTGTTGCATGTGCTTCGTCTGAATGTACTAAATAAACAAGGAAAGGTGATTGTCATTTGAAAAAGTGAAAGTCAGAGTCGGAGGAAAGGCAGAGATTCAGCAGTGAATCATCTGATGAAGACTGCCCTGGTGTGATGGCCCTGTCAGACACATTAATAGAGAAAGAACAATTGATATGTAAATATTCTTTTTCTACAATACCACCTCATCACTGATGAAACAGTTTCTCAGATAATAGCTGAGAGATCAGTACAACACACATTGAAGTTCAAAATGACTTTAACGAAGTTGATCCCCATCCTCCTTCCTGAACATGCTTTGCTGACCAGTAGCCTCTAAACATAAATTCTGAATATTCTGTGTATATCACAGACTTCTCGGGCACCGTGGGAAAGCTGAGAACTGCCACTTTTCTGAATAATGAAAGCATATTACAAAGTTCTTAAGGGCATGAAGGATTCCTACTATGGAACACTAAAAATGTTCCATGTATTTTCAATATATGTTTAAAAAAATTTTTTTTGAAAACACAGGGTAGATGAGCCTGAGATGTTTACTGTGCAAGCATGAGGACCTGAATTCAGATGCCCAACACCCTTATTAAAAGCCTGGCATGTTCCATGGGAAGCAGGCTGATCCCAGATAGTCTAGCCAGTAGATACATACTCTCTGCCCTCTCTTTTCTCAACTCTCACTTCCCATTATTCCTCTTTGTTCCCCTTTGACACCTTCACTTGTTCATAATTGTATATACCTGTGTAAAATCTAGGAACTCCCAAGTGCTGGGGTTACAGATGTGTATCACCCCTCCCAGTTTATATCACTCATTAACATAGATGAAATAACACATCACACATAGTAGGATCTACTAACTATTGGGATTTGGATGTGCTGGTAAGCATAGGTCCTTGAGCTAGTTGCAGCAAGTCGACTATGACTCCATGATTTCTACCTGTGCAGGCTCAGGTCACCCATTAAGCTGTTGTGGTTTATGGCACTCATGGTTGAGGAATATCAAATCTCTGTGAAATGTTAGTACAAACTCAAGGTCCCCATTTTTCCTAGTCAAGGTCAAGGATTTATTCTATTCTGTCAAGTGTTCTATGGAGCTTATGCTAAAAACTCAATTATAATTGCATATTAAAATGGATTGGGGAGCTGAAGAAAGGAGTTCAGTCTTTTCAGAAATCCTAGTATGGGTAAAATGAATGTTCACACATGTGTGCATGTGTGTGTTTGTGTATCTCTCTGCGTTATATGTGCCTGTATTTGTCTGTACTTCCCATAAAGCTTGTCAGTTGAGTTTATTGCATGCAGAATCTGCATAATTCATGGATCTTGGCATCTTCCACTCTAGCCTCATGAAACTCCTACATCAGAACTATTTGCTAAGAACATCACTTTGGCGCCAGGAACTGAACTTCATATATTGGTGCATTTCTGAAACACAGATGAGAAGGATGATGGATGAATGTTCCTATCCAAAGATAACACTGCTGGTCCCCAAAGGCAGCATTAAAGGTCTTTCCATTAGACCTTAGGAAGCTTTCCTACCCCTCTCAGCCCTAAATACCCTGAGAAATTAAGAATATGTTATTTCAAGAT